GGAATTTGGTTTTTTAATGAAATTATTCCCATTTAAACCCTTTTAGTGGCCTGCTCCAATCTGGGTGATTTAGAGGGAAATTTATCTCTAAAAGTCCCAGGATTGATAACGGGCAGTCCATCACATCCGAGGTAAGAAGGATAAAGGGATCTTTTCCAGAGAAAAATTGGATTTTGTTTCAAATCAAAATCAATTCCTGGGCTTCAGTCATTTATTGTCTATTTATCAATTAAAATACGTTTCGGTGTTTTCCACCATCATCAGATTCTCTAAAATAACAGATAGTAAAAAAATGTTTTCATTAATTTAAAAAACAATCACAGTTCGTCAACAGCTTCATCATATACAAAATACATCACAATTGCAACACTTTAAAACATTCTAAGATTAATTAGGCCTAACAGGTGATTAGTCAGGACAATCAATTTTGGGAAGAGACTAGAATTCTTTGTTCAAATACTCAATTATTTTTACTTACATGTGTAGCATTGTTGCCACTTTAAGCCTTGGCATATATTTGGAGTATTAATTTTGTCCATTTTGCACACAAAGCGAAATACGGTTTATATTGATTTCTTTTACTTTCAGGTATTTTTCTTTGCATTCTAAGAAGTTTATTTTTGGTTTGCAAAATTCTTCAATATACCGAGTGTTAGTTAATATTCTATGTTTATTTCATTTAATTAATGTATGATATACTGAGCTAAGATTGTCGGCATCCGATCTGAAATTCATAGCATTGTTATGTTTTTTAATTTGTATCATTTCATGGACTCTTCTCTTATTATAATTACTCTCGTTATTCAGTATTTTTATGTTAGCAAAATCAAAATTATGTAACTTCTGCTGTGCATGCTGTGCTAATGCTGTACCATTTTCGTTATATTTTCTTAGGCTATACTTATATTCGTATATTCTTTTCTTTAGATATTGTCCAGCTTGGCCTATGTATGTGTTATCACAATTCAAACAGTCTATTTTGTAAATTACATTAGGTGTGTCTAACTTGTTAATCCTAGGTTTAAATTTTGGGAAA